GTCAGGCTCAGGTTGCTGTGGTTCAATCCCCACAACTCAAGCCAGCCAAACCTGCCCTGAAGGCATTCAGAGCAAAAAAAAAAAAAAAAAAAAAAGAAGAAATTGTTTCTGTTTTTAAGATCTTACTGGCCTCTAGTGGTAATATGATGCTATTATTTAAGTATCTATAATTCTTGTAAAGCTGTTTTTGTAGTATTCTGCCAATAATCTTACTCTCTCAGTTCTTGGTCAACAGTATTCTCAAAGTATACGTTAAACATCATCTTCGTCCTAAAGCCTAGAACTGTATCTTTCGTTCCTGTATCTCAGTCGCCCTTACCTCTTTATTTTGCATGGTACTCTTAGCTCTCCCATTATTTTAGTGTATATAGAGAAATGATTACTGTTTCAGGTTTGTGCTAACTGCTCACCTGCACTATTGCAGCCATCTTCGCTACAGATTTCAGGGATAACTTTTATCTGTATTTTGTATTATGACAGTTTTTATTTCTTGAAAAGAAAGTTTCAGTTTGCCATTGAATTTCATTTAGACTCACCATGGTTATACTTTGACTTTTTTTTTTTTTTTGGCGGAACTAGGGATTGAACTCAGGCCCTTGCACTTGCCAGGAAAGCACTTATTCCACTGAGCCATCTCCCTGGCATATATACTTTGACTTTTAAGACTTGTTTTTTTGGTTTTGTTCTTATGTATTTGGTACAGGGTTTTACTATGCAGCTTGGACTAATAGTGACCCTCCTGTTTTCAGCCTCCCCAGTGCTGGGATTACAGGGGTGCATGACCATGCCCAGACTCAGTGATCAGCTCAGCGCACCTAAGGATGGGGTTGACATGTGGTGTCAGATCGAACCCTGGTCCCTGTACTTGCCTAAGCAGGTGTTTAGTCCATGGAGCTATCTCCTCACCCCCCCCCAAGGCTTGTTTTTGAAATATTGATTTAATAATCATGATAATGATTTGTCTTTTGTTTTTCTTTTGTAATTCAGATGTTAAAGGACCACCTACCCATCGTCTATCTTGTGGTCAGTCACCGTACACGGACACAACAACATGGGAACGGAAGTACTGCATCCTAACAGACAGCCAGTTGGTGTTGCTCAACAAGGAGAAGGAGGTGAGATGGATAGCTACTTTTGTTTTTCTGTGAAAATTCTGAAATTTTGTAGATTTTATTTTTGTGTTGATAATCAACATTATACAATTACAGACTTTAAGCTGGGCATGGTGGTCCATGCCTGTAACCCCAGCACTCAGTACTCTAAGACGAGAGGATCTCTTGGAGTTCAAGTCCAATCTAGGCTACCTAGTGAATTCAAGGCCAGTCTGAACTACACAACGAAACTCTGTCTCAAAAAAACAAAAAATACAGACATTTAACAACATACATCTAATGGGCTGCTAATGCAGAGCAAAGTGTTGTTCCAAAGAAGGATGCTACAGGGCCTGCATTCTCACTAAGGAACAGAAGAAATACTGAGTTAAGTTGAGAAATTTGGAATGAGAAATAATTGGAGTGGGTAGACTTGACCCTGCAGGTGGCTTAAAAGAGTTACTGCACATTTTATATCAGCCTGTTTCCTAAGAGCAGCAATTGGTAGGCTTAGGGGATTAATTGAAAGAGATATAATGAAGGGACAAGTTACAGATAAATGAACAGCCTGGAGTGTTGAAGCAGCCATGAGCTAACAATAGCCAAAAGCAGTTACACTCTAAATCTTCAGGGTAACAGAAGGAAGCCAAGTTTCTGGAACTCAGTAATAGTTCCTTGAGAACCTACATGATATTTGCTGTGATTGTACACAAAAGAGCACAACCTCTACCAACAAAAACAGATGGCCAATAAGAAAAAGACAATAAATATCCCATCTCTCTTCTGCTTCCTATTTCTTGCCATTGTCCCTGTTGAGTAGGTCTATACTAAAGGAAAGAAAAAAATGCTTTACAGGAAAAAAAAAACTTTTTGCAAGAAAAAAGTATGTTCTGTAGAGATCATCTTCCTGAGACACACTGAAAGAGAACAAAGGGCAGAGTGTAGTGTAGGTCTGCAGAGGCAGACAGAATGTAATTTACACCAGAACATCAGGCTCTGTTCTGCTAAATTAAAAACTCCAGAATTTATCACATACTATTACTACTTTACTCCTCCAACTGTTTACACATTCAGATCATTCATTTGCTTATAGGTAATGAATATCATTCTAGTATTATTTCTTCTACCACATAAAAAGTAGTGGTTCTGCTCTTGATATGAGGTATAATGGGAGAGAAGGAGAAGAAAATATCTGATTCAATGAAGAAGGAAGATTAGGTATGAAACAAAAGTAATGGTAGCGGTAAAATATCCTTTCAGTAAGTCTTCTTTTCTAAAAGTATATTCAGAAAAGAATGATTAGGAAATATATTTCTTTTTTCGAGTGGCGGCAGTTACCAGTAATAGAACTCAGGACCCTGTACCTGCCAGGCAAGTTATCTCCCCAGCCTAGGAAATATAGTTCTTAATTCTCTTTTGTAGATTCTAACTCCTTTTTCTCTTGCTCCTTCTTCCCCCTTCCTTTGTTTTTCTGTGTCTCTTCTCTTATTCAACATTTTGAAATTTGATAATGAGAAGGTTATAACAAGAAAGCTATTTCAGTTTCTTCTCACTTTTCAATAGACAGTGCTTACTTGAAAGGGCTCAGGTAGTATGCCTTCATGAAAAACTTATTTTTTTCCTCTAATCATTAAAAAAATACACCTTATTGTTACCATCTCTTCACTCATGACTCTTCTCCAGTACTTTAATATCAAATTTAAGTTTAAACAGATAATTTAATAAATACCAGTGTATTTCAGAATATTCTTATGTTACTGTGTTAACTAAATATATAATAAAAATGGTGCCATGAATGAATATTAGTAGAGAAGATTTCTGATTATCCACTTTGAATAAATGAATAATTTATAATGCTCATTTTAACTCATCTATCATGTCTTCTATCAGAGCTCTTAACAAGGAATCATATGAGATCATTTACCATTCTTTTGCCCTTGCCTGCATGTTTAGTTTACTACTGTAGTTTAAGAATAGATAGCAGGAAAAAAAAAAAAGATAGCAGAATGTCAAGAAACATCCCTTATACAGAACCAAGATATAACGTATTAATTAAATATTTCTGATCAACTGAGAAATCCAGTTCCAGGCCCTCTTTGTCTCATAAAATAACTGTTCATAATAAATGATTTTCTTTCTTTTGGGGTGGAGGAGGCTACCAGGGATTGAACTCAGAACCTTGCACTTGCCAGTCAAGCACTTATTCCATTGAGCTATCTCCCTAGCCTGATAAATAATTTTCTAGAACAGTATCATCTTATAAGCCAGTCATTACAAGTAGCTTTAGATACCCAGGAAACCTTTCCCCCAACACTTTCCTCTCTTTATGGATCTATGTGTCTGCTTTTCTGACCCTGCTTTCTATTCATCCTTCCTTACCTCTTGAAATCCTTCAATAAGCCTGCTGCAACTTTATCATTTGCAAAATCAACCATTTCTTCCACCTTCCATTCTTTAGAAAGGACCCTTAACTTTTTGGCCTCTGATAACCTTTGTTTCCTGAGGTCACTGTCTTCCATAAAGTCTTGTCAAGAGGTGTTTGTTTTTCTCCCATAGCCCTTGTATCATGCTTCTTGGGATGGGTATCTTCTCTTTCCACAACTGGTTTCTCCCCATTTTCCCTCATTTTCTCTAAAATATTCAAACTCAGAATTGCCTGTTGCAGCCATCCAACTTGTCACTCCTTATTTTTTGTGATTATTTTTCTTCTGGGTCATTATCTTTGTACCCACTTCAGTCTTAATTTTCTATTATTCCAGCATCTGTAGAGGTGATCCTTTTATCACATTGGCTCCAAGTTCCTTGAACTCCACCTCCAAGGATCTTCTCTCCATTTTACCTTATTACTACATGTCTTTCATATTCTTGATTACATGCATCTTACTCTCTGATCCTTATCTCTTTCCAGCTCGTTCCTCTTTCAACAGTCCTTCAAGCCTTCTGGGACTTACAGTCTCTTGATCTTTGTGGGGTACAGTGTGACATTTCAGTGTATGTATGCGATCTGTAATTATCAGACCAGGGTAATTGGCATACAGCCTCAAACATCTCTCATTTGTTTATTGCAAACATTCAAAATCCTTTCTAGTAACTATTTTGAAATACATAATTGTTAACCATAGTTATTCTGTACTATAGAACAGAGAAATCATTCCTCCTATCCCACTGTACTTCATACCCATTAATTATGCTCTATTTTATCCTTCCTTCCATAGTTTTCATAATTAGTGTTTTCCTTTCTCTCTCTCTTTAATTTTGTGTGTTTGATACAAGGTCTTGCTGTGCTGCTCAGACTCAACGATCTTCCTGTTTCAGCCTCCCCAGTACTGGAATTACAGGTGTGCACCACCACGCCCATACCAAGGATTGGGGACCAAGCCTTTAAACACATGGAGGTCTAGGGAAAGCTTAGTATCGAAGGTATAGAATGAACTTGCTCAGAACATGAAGCTTAATTTCCTTTTTTTGTTGCTGTTTTTGGTAAAATAAAATAGGATAATGAAAAGGATAAAATAATCTCTAAGGTTATTTTCCATAGTCAAAGATGTGATCCCATCTTTTTTGAAGACCTATTAAGTGTGCAGTGTTATGGTCGCAGAGATGTGGTTTTATTGGACTATTAGAAGTAAACTAAATTATAACCATTTGTAACAATACAGGTAGTTGTCTTACAACACTGTGAATATATAAATGTTGAGGAACTAGTGACTTTAAAATAGTTAATTTCATGTTATAGAAATTTAACCTCAAGTAGGTTTTGTTATTATAACTACAAGGGAAAGATAAGTGAATTCTTGTCCAGGATAGGTTATGGTATGAAATGGAGTGTCCTAGTTACTCTTCTCTCCTTCTTGGGACAAATACCCAACACTCAAAATGAGGAAAGGACAGGTTTATTTAGCTCACAGTTACTGGAGGTTTCAGCCCATACTTAGCTGGCTCCAAGGCAGAGGGGCTCATGGCAGAGAACAATCTTTCAGGATGGCTGCAAAGAGCAAGAGAGGCAGAAGGAGTAGCAGCAGCTCAGGCAACTAACTTCTCTTCTCTCCTTACATTGAAATGCAAATTACCTGCCCCGGAGCATGTGCAGCATCCACACTCAAAATAATCAATCTCAAACTCCAGAAGCCCCCTGGAGACTGCATGAGGATTTGAGGGGGCAACTACACACAAACCATAAGATGGAGAATGCCAAAAGCCAGTGTTTACAAAGAAATTAATGCTAACAAATAAGAACTCACCAGGGAAAAAAAAAGTTGGGGGACATTGCCTGTATGTATAAGGATACAAAATTCAGAAAGATAGCTTTTTGGCAAAATGTTCAGTTTTTTAAAATATAGCTCACAAGAGGAAAAGTAATAACTGGCAGGAACTGGATAATTGAACCTTGAAGACCATGGTGAGGAATTTAAATTTATCCTGGAAGTGGTCCACACAGTGGAAAGTATTTATAAGAACAATAACATATTCAGATTTGCTTTTTAATAAAGTAACTCTGTTGACAATATGGGAAAATGAGTGGAAAAGACTGGAAGTAAATAGATAATTACTACAGTAAACCATGTTAGAAATGATAACTTTATAAACAGTTTGTAAATACAGATTAATGTTCTCAGACAAGTAGTTAACTGTTCTGCCATTATTAAATTGCAAAAGTTGAGTGAAATCTTTAGAAAAAAAATGTGGAGTCATTTCTATACCTGCTATTTGAACAGTAAGTTTTATACCCTGTTTATTTTCTTATGGGAAATTCATTTGTAGTGGAAACACTAGCATATCCTATTACTCTTTTCCTTTTACCCACACTGATGAAGTGTAAGGACTATACTATAATTCTTGTCCTTGGAATTTTGTATTGAATAGTTCAGAATTTCTTGAAATGAGTTTAAGGAATGTCCTTCTAAATGATCTGAAAGAGCTGCTGCATCCTGCATGGCTCTTGAAATTGAGGAGGAGGTGGTAGAACAGGATGGTGAGAGGGTGGAAAAATAAAGATAAGGGACAAAAGCTGAGTTAAAGTAGAG